TGTATACTAAAAACAGAATGACATAAAGACAGTATGCATGTCAGCTCTTTAAAACGACCACCCTACGCTTACTTTGAGGAGAGTTGAGTATTCTATGAGCTGTTTGCAGCCTCGAGAGCCATGCAGAAAGCGGGGCTGTGCTGAAGTGGCTCATTGTGAGCTCCGCAGCAGTGTAGCTTTAAGATGGAGGTGGGCAGCGCTTCATGACGCAGGAATATTCCTGAAAGGATGCTTCAAAACTCCAGACTGGAGCCAGGCAGCGCGTGTGTCTGAACTGGAGCTGAACGGATCTACGAAACTGCCCGGACTAAGCACTGGGGCAAATTTTGATTCTGTAGAACAAAACCCAGATCTGAGAAGCGTTCTGGTTTTACCTGCTCACTGGAAATATTTAACCAGGGCTGTCTGTAGCTCAGTGCGCTGCTTAGGGGGAGCCAACTTGGAGAGAGAAGCGTTTAGAGAACACCTCTGAAGCGTTGATTGGTTTTTGTCTGAGGCTAAACTTTCAAAGCGGCGCCATGGCACCGTTCATTGAACCTTTTCTGTTCTTTTTGGTCATCTTCAACCCATTTATCACCAACTCTTTCACTGAGGAAATTGAGGTTTTGGTGTTTTTGCCACAAAATGACTCTTTCCTGTTTTCACATGCAAGAGTCGCACCAGCGATCCGTTACGCACAGGACAGACTGAAGGCAGAATATCCAGATTTCCACTTCAACATTCACTTTGAGAACTCCGACTTGGCCAACCACGCTTTGTTCACGCTGGCGGACAGGTCGTGTAACCTGAAGCCAGACTTGATCCTCGGTCCAGTACGTGAGTACGAGGCGGCAGGTGTGGTGAGGCTGGCATCCCACTGGAAAATCCCGGTGATATCTGCAGGTGCTCTGGCCACCGCCTTCAAGAACAAGGAGACGGAGTACTCTCACCTGACTCGGATCGCCCCGTCCTACGTTAAAATGGCAGAGACATTCAAAGCGATGTTCGAGCACTTCACATGGAAGAGCGCACTGCTGCTGATCGAAGACGACATGAAGGAGCGGGACTGTTACTTCACTTTGGAGGGAGTCTACCATTTAATGGATGACTATAATGTGGAAGTTGAAATAATCCATGAACAGGCCCCTTTCAATATTGAAGAAACATTCAAGAATAATCAGGACATGGAAGGTAAAGCGGTTTTATTGCTTTATACAAACTGTTTAGAAAAGTGTTTAAAATAATCTCACCAATTACTTTAAAAATGACAACACTGAAATGACGATTTACTATTTTATTTGCAAATATATAACTCATATAGAAATATTGACACCAAGTTTTATATTAAAAATTCCCAAAAGATAAAAAAAAAATAATTAAACTTAAGTTAGTGTCCTAAAATGGAGTCAACATGGAGGTAGTAAAAATGAAACAGTAGGGTACAATAAACTAAGTGTGACTTTGGAGATCCACCAGCCTATGTAACCACTTTAAGCAGCAGTCTGAAAAATCTGTGCTGTCTGGTTTTATCAGTCTCACATTATTGAGAGGGTATTTTACCCTACACTTCTTTCCCAAAATAGTTTCATTTCTTTGAGAGTTGCAGAGATTTATCTACAAGTTTACTCATGAGGTCCCAAAGTGTTTCAATTAGGATTTTTATTCAGCCATACAAACATTCATTATTTTTATTTTGAGCCATTCTTTTGCAGATTTGCTGCTTCGTTCTCGGTCACTGACCTGTTGCTGAGAGAGCTTAAGCCAATAGTTAGCTGTTAGACTGTCTTAGAAATACAGGCGGATACAGTGAAAGTTGATTCTGACTGCAAGGTGGCCAGGTTCTGTGGTTGCAATACAAGACCAAATCATCAATCATCCTTGCAGCAAGTTTCACCATTAGGATGAGGTGTTTCTGGTTAATTATTAATTATGGCTAAACATCTCTGAACATCTCAATATTTCTGTCATTTACAAATCGACATTCTTCCAGTCGTTTTGTAGTTACTTTAAATCGGTCTTTCTCAAACTGTGGTCTGCGAGGTACTGCATGTAAATGACCATTTATTTGCCATGATGAGAACTCATAGTGTGATGCTACCTTACCAAAGGATTGTGTTTGAGAATAATGATGGAAAACTGGCTTAAAACCGGGTCACTCAAAAGAAAAGCTGCAGGTACTTGTGGAAAGAAAACAACTTCAGGACTATATATATCATCAGGGAAAGCTAAGTCAAAGCTGCTGAGTGTTGATGTGACACTAGCGACTGGATTCCTTTGAACGGTTATTGGTAGGAATCGCTCCAGTTATTCAGAACAGTTCTTTGTTTTTTACCACTTTGCTTGGTAATGAATGATGCTCTACTTTCAGATCACAGCTATTGTTTTTATTTAATTAAAAAATATTAAATTAAATTAAAGAACTACAATAAATAAATGCAATTGATAGAAATGGGTAAGTTGCATGATATATTAAGATGTGCTGTCACAGGGGCAATTTCAGGTTAGGTGGTCCGTGACTGTTTTAAATTAGTTAAGTGGTCCACCTGAAAAAGTTTGAGGAACACTGCTATAGGACAAACTCTAAGTAACTTTAAATCTCAGACTGGATAACCTGGGTAGCAAACAGCTTAAACTCTAATGTAATATTTGCTGAAATAAATTCCAGCCCCCTTTTACCCTGAACAGAACTGCGTGTAGCCAGAAAATGAGTGTGTTTTATTACAAGATGTCAATCTCACAGTAGAGCAGCACAGTATGCAACATCATTAACATGGAGCAGAGGCAAAAAGCCATGATTGCACAGATGATGTTTATTTAATAAGACATCATCTCAGCTAACCTCTGCCTGTGTGTTGAGATCAAACAAACTGCTCCCAGCAGAAATCAAATCAGGGGGGACCAGACAGATTCTGTCATGCTCTTTTATGTTTTAAAACTCAAGGAAACCAGGAATCTGTATGAGCCGCTGAGTTTTTATAGAGATTCGAGACATGTTTGTTGAAGTATTATATAATTAAAAGCCCCAAACTCCATACTGTCAACAAGATGCAACAGTTTATTTATTTATTTATTTTTGCACAGCTGTAATATCCTAGAGGTAGTCACTTAGTGCCCTGAGGAACCAATTAAATCGCCCACAGGTCATATTCTAAAAATAGAATCTGTTGCCATGGAGCTCTGTGGGAAAAATATTTTATTTGAGATGTAATTTGAAACAATAGTTTTTGTAATACTAGTACAGCTCATAACATTAGAATATTGTGGAAAAATTGTAGGTTCATTTCAAAAAGTGAAAGTCCTACGTGAAATATTTTTAGTATTTGTGTTATGTAATATTGATAATTATGGTTTAAAGATGAAAACAAAATTCTCTCAGAAAATCAGAGTATTGCTAAAATGTTAGGTAACACTTTATTTGAAGGGGTGTGAATAAGACTATTTAAACTTTACCTTTAATAACATAAAGATACCTATTTTTTAAAGTGCAATCAGTAATTCTTTTATAACAAATTTATATCAGTAATGATTTCTTGGTTAATGTCAAGTTGTCATAACAAAGACATTTTGAATAATGTCAACTTTGTATTAAAAGTGTCATAATTTACCGAATGACGCTTTATGACAATAGTCATACATATTCATGAAGGCTTATTCATGTTCATGACAGGTGTTATGTCATGTTTATGATGGTGTCATGTCAGTCTTATTCACCCCCCTTCAAATAAAGTGTTACCAAATGTTATATCATGTTCATATAAAGTTGAATGGAAGGAAAAAGTGTGGCATGTAAAGGTGGAGCAGAAACAGGATGAGAAGATTGTCAAGAAAAATCCATTCAGCTTGGAGGGAGCTTCACCAGGAGTGGACTGAGGTATTCAGCGAATCAAAAGCCATTATGGGCAACAAATGTTATATTCCTTGTGTCAAGCCACTCCTGAACCAGAGACAACACCAGAAGAGGCTTACTTGAGTTGAGGAGAAAAAGAACTATATAGTTGCTCAATGGTCCAAAGTCCTCTTTTCAGAAAAGGTTCAAGTGGCATTTCATTTGGAACTCAAGGTTTGAAGGAAGAGCTGAGAGGCACTGAATCCATGTTGCTTCAAGTCCAGTGTGAAACTTTCACACTCTGATGATTTGGGGTGGCATGTCACCTGCTGGTGTTGGTCCACCAGGTTTTCTGAAGTTAACAGTTGATAAAGATGAAAACAAAACTGCAACACTGAAGTGTTACAGTTGAAACCGTTGGATACGTATTGTAACCCCAGACTCTATGAGTATAGGCGCAGCCTTTTAAGGCTATCACTAGTGGGTTTGTCCCTTGCGCACCGCAGCAGTCAAAAAAGCTTAATCCACGCCCACCTACTGGGTGGGCCCCACTGGTCTGTATAAATAATGGTCTGAGCGGACAAACGATTTCCTAACAGCTTTTTTTTTTTTTTTTTTTTCCGCTGAAAAGCTGAAACCAGGGGGGCCCGCCACAGCTTAAAGGGCTGCGCCTATCCTCGTAGAATCTGGGGTTGCAATACATAACCAACGTTCTATTTTGTATAGGCTTCGCCCTTTAAGTTTATCGCTAGTGGGTTAACAGAAAAGCAGGATGCAGTCTATGCTGCTTGCTCTGTTTTTGTCCTGTCTTTTTCTATATTTTTGGAGCCTTTCTTTGCACATCCTCTGAATCTACAAATTATGGATCTGGATCTCTCTCAATGCAATTGATCAAATTTTCTCGACAAGAAGACTGGGTACAAGAGAGCCCTCTTGATCTGCGGGGACAAACCCGGCAGGATTCACCCTGGATTTATTCATGATAACAGGATTTCTGCTGTTTGGAGCTTGTGGATACCTGGCTTATTGACAAATTTGTGATGGACTTGGCCGAACTAGCAAACATTCAGGCTTTTGGTGTGGACAGAGACGCAAGTTGGATGTGAGTCTTGCTGAGACTCGCAGCCCAGCTGAGGACTCTAAAACTCACTAACGGAATGGAATCGATCTTGGAGAAGTTGCTAGTTTTGGTTCAGTGGAACGACCAAACTAATTTGGGTAATTGGGAACTGTGATGTATCAGAGAGACATTAGGGAAGATTGAAATTTATAATCTACCTGACCTAAGACAATCTATATCTGAATTGGATTTCCCTGTGTTGCCTTGGAAGGGCATATTTCCAATGCTCCTTCCCACCTCACCCCCTCCTGTTAGCCATGCAGCTGTGGAGCTGAGCACTCCCAAGGACATTCCTCGATTGCAACACCTTGATTGGACTTCTGCCAGGATCCTGAGCAACATGGTTTTATGGCCCTGTGATGTCACCGCCTTTACTCATGTCTTTGTTTTGTCTGAATCTGTCCTTTCCTCTTTTTATATTTAATTTTGTTAGAAACTGTAGAGTACTCACTTTTAACCCAGCAAAGGAATTAGAACAAACTTGGAATCCAGAGACTCAGTTTGTTAGTCACTCTTTTGCTAGTTTACCTGTTAAAAACTGTGGAGTACTCACTATTTAACCCAGAAAAGGATTATTTGAGTTTATTAGTAATGTAAGAAATTGTGATGTAAGCACGATTTAGATCAATATTATACTTTCTAGATAACTTTTATGCAGAGAGACTCATACTGCTACAGCCCAGAAAATGAATTAGAACTTAGAATCCAGAAATACAGGAACAGTCACAACTTACTTTTTATGCTACTATTCCTTAGAAACTGTGGCTTCTCACTTTTAACCCAGAAAAGGACTTAGAACAAACTTAGAATTTAGCTATTAATCTTTAGATTATCAGTTATTTAGAAACTGTGGAATACTCACTTTTAACCCAGAAAATGATTAGTCACTCTTAAGCTGTATTTAGATGCAGAGACAAGAAGCCCAGAGGACATTTTTGGATCGAGACTACTTTTTAGACTCTTGTTCTTTCAACCCAGAAATGGAATTAGACCAGAGGCTACTTAGCAACCCTGAACAGGTGCACTTAGCTTACACATACTTTAGATCAACATTAGATTATTTTTCTCTTTTTTTTTTTTTTTCTCTGTTTTTTTTTTTACAACCTTTTTAATTCCTGTAAAGCACTTTGTATTGCCTTTTGCTGAAAATGTGCTATATAAATAAAATTACCTTTACCTTTATGTCTCACTGGGTCCATCCAGATCACCACCATAAAGCATCTGCTCGCATATGACAAAAAACAGTCTTAGCCTAGAGTGTGTAATTACGCACTCCCGCCCTCCCATACAGCAAAGCTAGAGAGGAGAATAGCCTCTGGTCAGAAAAGGCTGAGATAAAAAGACCTGCTGCTGCGAATAGGAACAACGAACGTTACAAACTGTAACACTGTAACGATGA